TCATTTAACAGAGGTGGAGGCCTCCATCTTCAGTTGTCCCCCTCCTACAGCGCTGCTAATGCCGGTATCACTCCACCCCCTGTTAACAATAGGTGTTAATTAGGTGTCAACGATAGCCATGTGATGTGAGTATCAGTCACATGGAGGCAGTGCTTAAAAGCCTGAATTTTGCCTGAAACTCTCAGACTGAAGAAGTCTCTTGGAAGAGAGACGAAACGTTTCATTAGAGAAGAACCCGTCCAGAGGACCTATACAATTTTTTTCCTTTCAATTGTATTATAAATTTTTATTAGTTAAGCAGACTTCTCAATGCTTAATTCATTTTGCAACTTACGTTTCACATTGAAAGTGTTTTAAATTAACTCTGGAGTGATGCTAGCTTGACTCATGCAATTTTCTTCGTGTTGTTCAGAACTAAGATCCTTTGACTGCCATCTGCTGCAGGTATTAGATACTCATAATTACGGCACACTAACCTAAATCTGAGCCATTCCTTTGAAATAGCAACAATCATTGGATTTGACAAATATTTATACTTATAAACTTTATACCACACAGTAGATTTGGAATAAAAAGATCAATACAGTCATTTCTGAAATCAACGCAAAACTTAAAAAAACTGATTATTAAGTTGTTGGTTTTTTTGTTTGTTTTGTTTTGTTTTGTTTTTTCTTATGGTCTCATCAACACACAAAAAAAATTTAGGCAGCCATGGAGTCGAAATGAAGATCCTGTCAAACTCTTCCAGCCAACTTTTGCCAATGCATGAAAATAATTAGAGGCGTATCAATACCAGTTTTTCTCAGAGTACAAGTATGAATACTTCAGTTTGGGTACCTGCAGATTTGGAGTACTGATACTGAGAACTTACTGAGTGAGAATGTAAACATTACAGTGACTTTAAAGACAAATTATGAGATGTTGTCTCACCTTCCATACAGCCCCTCTGACTAGATTAAACCATGTGCAACATGATATGTATATACTGTTACAACATTTTTTTTAAATAAAAATAACAAATAGGTTTTTCTTTTAACTTGTATTTTTTTTACATGGAACTGACAAACTTGCACTTGAAAAAGAAATTGTAACATTCAATAAAATATCAATACAAGTATCCTGCAATATTCTGAGCATTGGAGCATTTTATATTAATAGATTTGTAAAAAATACTGGTACTGGTACACCACTAAAAAGTGGCAAACATGCTGGTGTAGTTCCCATAAATTAGGTGTAAGTTAGCCAACTAATATGCGATGTTGTTAGCTGGTGTATGTCTGTGCCATCCAATAATTTGCTCCTGCGCCAAACTTTCAGTGTATGTTAACGAGTTGCTGATAAGGTAGACGTAAGTTACAAGTATGTGTCGGGTAAGCTATACACAAGTTCACACATGTCACATACAATATAAGTTACTCATAAGGTACATGAGAAACCAGCAAGGCAACTGAGAAGTGTAACTTAATATAAAACCTATGAGCAACTTACTTCTAACATATCTGCAACTTTCTTGTGTGTCTGCAAAAATGCATTTCTTTTTTTTTTACTTAGGTATTGTATTGGAAAGCTAAGAGAGATAAATTATTTTGAAAAAAATCATGTTGACATATGAGGTTGGGGGAAAAATTTGTCAGGGCTATCACTCGACAAGAAGCAGATGTAGACAGTCTTGCATCATAAAATATCTTGAATAAAAGATCTTGGCCGTCCATTAGCTTTGACATTAATAACTAAATGAGATTTCACTCTTTATGTTAATTGCATCCCAGTGCTGGTGATATATTTCCCTCATCACTGTGAGAGTTTAACATGATATTTTTAAAACCTTTAATGACAAATCACAACTTTTCTTCACACAAAAAGCTCCGGCGTGGAGCATTTGTCAAGCGGAGAAATGAAAACCATTGCACCATTTGCTTAACAGTAAACTAACCGTGTCAGATTTATGTGCCGGCCTTTAACAGGGACAAGACTCTGGATTACTTAATGGCTTTAAGCTGGAGTAGTTTTATGAAGCTTGAAATTTGAGGTTAATCGGGGGATGACGTGAGACACTTTCTCACAGGGTGTTTTGTGGAAGACATCACTGACCCCCTCCCCGGAGCGCTCTGTCCAGAAGACTTACGAACAAAAGAACCATTTGCAGTCCAGGTGAGGATGTTGAAAGAGCACAGGCGCCCTAAAGGCATGAAACAAACGCTACGGTATGGGTTCTTTTATCTGGTCAGTCTTAAAACCAAATCATCAAAATTTTGATTTTAGTGTTTTTGTCGTCATACTTTAGGTGACTCAGTCATTTCACTGCAGACATCTGTAGCCTCCATGTATTGAAACACATACTGTAAGACCATGAGCAAAAGAGAAAAAAAACCCAGCAGGATGGGGGTGGTGTAGTCTTGGCTAACGACGTCCCGTCTCTGTGACCATTTGGGAGCAATTTTGCTTCCTCAGAACAGAGGGCCTTGCTGACTGCTGTGTTTGTAATGTGTGCAGATGGTGGACGAGCGTTTCACTGCATACCCTTCTGTGGTCAGCCCAGCTCCCAAGTCACTTTATTAAAGAGAAACTCAAACCAGAAGTGATTTCTCTCCTCGGTGTCCAGGGGGCAGATGCTTCAGATTTTGTTAAAGTTTCTGCCAGTGAATAAAAGCTCATCGGCCGTTTTAAGCAGAAAACCAATTAAAAGCAAAAAATAAAAATGGTCATGCCATTAGCTTTGATTTGTTTAAAAAAATACGCCTCTTTGTGGTTTCTCTCTGCTTGCCAAGTTTGTACAGAGGCTTGCAAAAAGCAACAAACACTTGGACGGCATCATCATTTCCTTGTCGACTCAGAACGTGTTTACAGTGACAACAGCCGAGTGTGGCTTCAGGTCGTAAATATTTACATCCCATCATTATTGCTCATGTGATTTAACGTTTCTCTCCTCCGTCTCCCTGTCAACCAGTTTATGATCTGCTCACATCGCCCGACTGCTTGCCAGACCTGCTGCAGGGCGGTCTGGCTGAACAGGGGGTGACCGAGGCTTTCATCCTGACCTCCTTCAAGCTGCAACCCAAAACTGGAACCACCGTGTTCAGCTTGTACAACCCCAGGGACAACAGCAAGTACTTTGAGTTCACCGTGATGGGGAAGCTCAACAGAGGTAGAAAATATATTGTATTCTAAAGCTGAACAAATACGTGTATTTTTTTTTTTTCAGTTCAAAGAAAAACGAGAAAATGACTGCTCAAACGAAATGAATAGGCCATGCAATCTAACAGCATGCTGTAGCTGGCACATTGCTGTAAAGCATGGTGGAGCATTTAGGAACCAAACTGATATGTTTTTCTCAAGAGTTTTGAAAGTAAAAGATAAACATAAAAGTAAAAGAAAAATAAAATAAATCATCATTGTATCAGTGGCTAATTTTCAGTGTAATCAAAAGATATTAAATGAGTAATTCATGTTTTGAAGTGAAGCAAGGTTACAAACTATATCCTATCCCTACGACAATACCTTCAAATTGTTAGTTGATTTTTTTTTTATCTAAGAGACACACAACAATAAAAATCATAGATGTTTGGTTGTCCCACCGTGTGGCGTACAACCACACAGAAATAATTCCTGTACCTGAACCTTGTGTGAATTGCCCTGTTGAAACTAGCTACTACCAGACAATAAAATAATATACTAAGTATACTAAATCTAAGTAAACTTTAGTATACTTGAAGCCGCACTAATCATCAGTATACTTAAAGAGTGCTATTTTGGAACAGCTAATTTAATACTAAATCTGCTTTAGTTGTATTTAAGTTGTACAAAAGCACAATTTTAAGAATATTAAGTATACTTTTAAATACTAAAATGGAACAACTTCAAATATACTTAGTACACTTTAAGTTTATAACTTTGTCTATACACAAAAACATTTTTGAATGCATTTAAAAATAAATACTCACTATTTCACAAAATATTGGAACCTTGAAATATTATTTTGAAAATTATTAAAAAATAAGGTTAAAACAACATGTATTTGAAAATAGTACAACTTCAGAGAAGTACTGGATTTATGGAAATGTGCATTAAAAATATACAC